AAACATTTGTACTTTTATTACTTCAGAACTAAACTGATTATCATTGAAAAGACGAAGTCCATGATTTCACATATTCCTAAACGTTGCTCGAATGATTACATCACATCCCATTTCGTTTATCAATCTACATGTTTACTGGAAGCACATACAGAGAGAGGAGTAATTGAACTTTGGATTATGGAACATGTACCCAAGTGGCTTCAAAATCAGTTAACGTCAGATGAGCCGATTAGTGTGAGAAATAGAAAACCATATTCGTCGATCACAAACCACATAACTGAAACACGGCATAAGATTGACAGTCTACAAAACGTTGTGTATAAATGTTAAAGGACGAATTGTTATATTTATGGAAGCCTTGGTTATTCGAAAATTAAAACTCCCCTTATGTGTGCAGAAACAATTTGTCATAACCTTCAATTCAGCTTGGTAATCATTAAGCCTAGGATAATGTGACAATTTTCTTATCCCTTTTTACTCTTTTCATATTACGTTAATTTTCTCTCTCCCTCATTTACAATTATAACCCTGTCTATTTCAACTTTTATTTAATTGACCTTTTTTTCTTCTTCATATAAAATGCCTTGACAAGTAAATATGTGTGACCAGATCGTTCGAAATGTACTGCAAAAATACATCACAAGAATTCTCAGATCAATTACATCTTCTCACTGTTCTATCAGAACAAAAGTTCAACATTATAACAAAACATTTGTACTTTAAATACTACAGAAATAGATTCGTCTTCGTTTAAACTGGGAAAAAGTGTGTGCATATAATGTTAGAATTATGTAGAAAATGAAAAAATTCGAATATGTTCTTTTAGAAAAACTATGCATTTTGAGTAAAAAACTGATCACTATTATTTATTGTGAGCAGTAGGTATCCAACATTATGAGAAATGCTTTTGTGATTCGCCTCTATTATTATTAAATTACTATGATATATTTATTATCGATTTGGTGTTCATTGAAACTAGTATTTTCTGTTATTTCCGGTATTCTTTATAACTTTACCAGCTCTCATATAGTTGCGATGATTGCTGTGCTTCTTTGAAATCATAAATTGGTCAGTGTTGTTACACAATAGACAACGTGGAAGTACTGGACGGCGATTCGTCTGAGTCTGTTACTCATCGGCACTGCACATGCCCGTAAACATTAAGAGTAAGGAATTTTCTCTCACCTGGTGATAAGCTATGGAAGGAAATATTAGGCTCAATGCATTGGTACCGGATCTAGGAACAGACTTATTGGCACTAATGAATCAGTTTGGCTTTCGCTTTGGGCAGTTTCGTACATTGTTACATGAGCCGCTATGCTGGCAAGGATTAGTTTTCGACTCTTGGACTGAGGTGGCTTGGGATGAACTGGGTGTAGCATGAGCAATTTTATTGCGGTTAGGTAACTGTTGGTGAACAACGTGAACTTCGGAAAAACCCCGGACCCCAAGATTACACCAAAGTGTTGTCATACTGCTCGTTGCTGATGCGTTGGTACTCATCAGTGATCGCATCAAGTGTCAGTGTTGGATCTTGTTCAAGGCTGTTAAGCAACGGAGTTCTGATGTCGGAGATTTAGGTGACGGAAGACTGCATATGACTATGAGGCAGTTGATTCGGCCATCTGTGAGAGATTTGAGTTTGAACCGTTCGCTCTCAGGGTTGACAATGCCAGCATGGGTCATCAGGTTATGGGACTCATTCATGACCTGTTTTAGGCAGCGATAACGTGTATTGCAAAGAAAGTGCTCATCACCCAGTAGTTTTCTGGGGGACTGAACAGTATCATCGAACGAATGCACGGGTGAGGTCTGTGGTAAGATAAAGTCGCAATACTGGTGCAGTTCTGACGGACCAGGTTTTCTAATGAGAAGACGCACCTTCAGCAAAATCAACTTCGAACCAAGTGTCAAATGTAAAATTGGCATCACAATCAGAAAGAAACTCTGAAATACCACTGATCATACCGTCGACTAAGTGAGCGATTGTCGGTGTAGATCAGTCTTCGGAAAAGGTGTGAGTCAGAGTAAGTATGTCTATAGACTTCAGCTGTTGTGCAAACACTTTTTGTAATTTAGCTGCATTCATAATATTGCACCAGATCATTTGTCGAATTGCCGTCGCCAATTGTTTTGCTCGACTCTAGGTATGCTTAAACAATTACGAATTCACCTTAGTCGAATGACGAGAACTGAAAAATAAACCAGCGTCCAGGTAAGCTACTGTGATCCGACTGTCCCAATTTTTCAGCAAGAAGTCTTGTTATTTTGTCGAAAGTGTATTCTACGAACACCTACCTGGCACACAAATCGCGTTTACGTATACTCCATACAGACGTCCTTAGGACAGTCACAAAAATAGCAGACTAAAATGACACACTAACCAATCAGAGCAGAGGATTTTCCTGGTGGAAAATGTGATTCCAAGGTCAGCTGATAGTCCCATGAAATAAATCGAAATTAAAGACATTTATCAAGCGAGTTCTGGCAATCCAACATCCCCAACAATTGTGTTCCACCTTTCTCTAATGATACACTTGATAAAGAACAGTATGTCAGTTTTACTGAGATCAAGAAGATATCTCTCAGGAAAAAGTTAAGTGGAACAAAGTAATTAGTTGATTTTTCTCACCTACTCTCTTCCAATACGAACTGCAAACGTTCCAGTATCAATAAAGGCAGTACGTGCAGCACGTGTGGAATTTCATTACTTTCGGACAAGTAAAAACATGGGACTGACCAAACGAAGACAGAATTAGGCTATTCAAATGTTCTTTAAATAAACGATCGTTTAATAAATATTGTAGACCTATATCTCATCCCTATTAAGGTTGATCAGTTGCAGATATCATTCTTGTTTCCATGGCCTTTTCGATATAATGTCAAGCTGCGTCCGGACGGAAACAACTTATCAGGGACGATCAAATGAATATGTCTTACAGTTGATACTGACGCTTTCATCGACATCGTATTTAGATCACTGTGAGTTTTGTGCTCTTATCAAGCGAATGAACGACGCATGCAATCGCCAAATTAAAACCAATGCTTTATATATGTAATTACTCACGTCACTTCCAATGAAGTATAGGTCTGTGACGTTGGATACTAATTAAAATTCTTACACTTCCTATGCTGCTCATCCATCGCCGACTGCCACATATATATATATATATATAAATATATATATATATATATATACATATATATACAGGAAAATGTATGAGTTCACAAATCGTTAGTGTGTCTGAAATTATAGGTAGTAGTAGGTGCTTAAGCTGTAACCAGTGTTCAAGCACACCTGCACATACAAACGCGACAATAACACATGTACAGTGATTCCGACAATTGTTACAGTTCCGAAGATACTGTCTTTCAAACAAATTAATAAAAGCGCTTAGTTAAATTAAATTTTAACAAACATAAATGTTTGTTCGGTGCGCTCAAATAGCTCCATGTTGCTGACAGAGATGCAAAAGGATGAGTGTGTCTGAATTCAACAAGACGAAATCTAATAAATCTAACTAAAACAGGACGTAAGATGAGACGATTATGTAGGTCATTACAGGTTGGTGGGCCTGATGAGAATATGATAGAAAACCAATATATAACGTGAATCTCACTCAGAGACTCTCTGGAGCTGCTGCGGGAGACAGCCTCAGATTGATGAAGAAAGTTTGGCATGAAGTTAGGCATCTCATCAAATGAGAAACTAACTCTTTAAAAAGCGTTGACCAGACTACTAGAACAACCTTTAATTCAGGTATATGACATGTTCGTACAATTCGGCAAACCAGGAGAGTCATCCAAGCTTCTGCAGAAGTAAAAATATACAACCTGGTGGTACCTGGAATTTGTGATATACGATGTCATCGGTTGGAGCACGAAACTAACTCTGGGAGCGTCGCTGTTCTACGACAATGTTGGTGGAGAAAATGCTTTTCATACACGTGGTTTCGCACTGTTGTTTTCCTAAGTAGCAAGAACAGTACTGAAAGAATGGGAATCTAAAATGAAAGACAAACTAAATGTAACCCAATGTTATGCACCTGACAATAAGGATGTTAACCATCATTTCCAAGACAGGCTGCAGTTAATAGTAAAGAAAGGCACAACAATACTTTCCAACGCTTTTATACTGTACATTCACTCGAAGGTTGAACAATATCGCCTCGAAAAGGGATTTTACCATGTTGATAGTAGATTCAAACGTCAACTTTGGACAAAGTCGGTTATGAAGTTATCATGTAACGATATGGACTATGAGAAGCGTAGGTAAACAGTAGGACAATAGTAAACCTGTGAACCCTCAACAAACTGGTAGTAAGTAGCATCATGCAACCACACAGACAAATGTACAAAGCTATATTGGTTTTACCGGATCATACGAAATCGAATACATATTCATCAATAAAGTAATAAGAATGACGATGTTGGACATAATAATCATGAGATTAGCTGATATACATTCAGTTTATTACATGCTCATCGCGATGCTGAAATTCGAACTTTTTCCTATAAACATTTTTGAACAGTATATGGTTTACTTACACATATGTATCACTACGGTCCACAAAATAAGAGTCGACCAAGTATTTTAATACAATATTATACTTACCTAGTGTGAAAACTAGCAGTCTACTACAGTTTGTAATTTTTTATGCTGTATTCGTTTACACGCACACATTTACATGAAAAGAAAGTAAATATTTCTAAATAGATCTGGGTATCTACCAATAAAATAGTTTGTTTGCTTATCAATCTACAAGTTCGTGAGATGTGTCTGCGTCAGTAAAAGATAAAACAATTGGAAATTTTACCTGCATCATGCATTATTGCTCAACTGTGTGCGAGAGGATACTTCAATGATTCCATTGATCATTCTCATTTCATTGCCATATTCACTTTGTGAGATGTTTAAAGTGCCTCTGTACTCGGTGGAGAGAAGTAGTATTTGGCCTGGAATTCATTCAAAATACTTTGTCCCATCGACGAGAAAATGGATGAGTGAAGGGAAGAAGCGGACTATCTCTACATCAGAACGACTAATTAATTACAAAAATGTAAGTATGGTGAACGTATTTGATTCATTTGTTTTTGACTCACCTACATCACTAAAGCTGTCAGATAGATTTTCATTTTTTGTCAGAATCATGCTTGTGAAATGACTTGGATTCATTTCTTTCTCATTGGTTAAAACTAATGAAAAAGCAACACAGCATTTTAAAATTTGATTGTTGCACTTACGATGAACCACTGTTAAAAGGAATGTGATAGAACTAATCGTATTCATTCTCTATCAGCTTGACAGCTGTCACGTATGCATGATAAATGTAGGAAAGGTAGTCGAGAGAGCAAATGTCTACATAGTGTTACCCGCAAACAATAGATTCATTTGCATTTACTCTGTTTCACACTGTCTGATATTTTGATAATAATGATCTCTCTGTTAAGGTTCAATATTATGGTGAGATATCTGTGGGAACTCCACCTCAAAAGCTTCGTGTACTGTTCGACACAGGATCAACAGACACATGGCTAGCCTCTAGAAAGTGTTGGTTTCTTGACATATTTTGTTGGCTGTACTCATTCTATGACAGCTCAAAATCATCCACATATGAAGCAGATGGTTCGAGTTTTCATGTTCGTTATCTGGATGGTAATTTCTCTGGATTTTGGAGTGTCGATACCATACGGGTAACATTATAGAATAATTTTAAATGAAATACAATTCCAGATAAATTCGTTAGTTATTCCAAGACAAGCCTTTGCTGAAATGACGAACATATTTAGCGCCGACCATCTCACTGATAAATATGATGGAGTAGTTGGTATGTCGAGCACCCGAATATCACGTTACGGCAATATTCCAATGTTTCCAAATATGCTGGCCAATTGTGTAAATATGGATCCAGTATTTTCATTTTATTTAAATCGGTGAGTGCACGACAGCTTTCCTTGATATAGTTTTGGAGAACTCTCTTACTAACTAATTATTTTATGCATTTTTCATGTACACAAACGGTTGTAAAGTGATCATAGGTTTATACATGATGAGAATATCGAAAACGGTTAGTCAGTTTGATATTTTACTTCAAACGTTTTTTAATTTAAATTATCAATGCTATTTAAAGTAACTAGTTAACCATGAAATTATTGGTTTTTTAGTTGTTTTCTGAAATGTCTATAAGAACCTGCCATGTACTGTTCATTTATCCTTATCAATTCAGCATAAAAATCCGTGAAACTTTGTTACATCTTATACCACAGATAATGATAATCTTTGACAGACGTTTACACACCCATCTATGATGTAAATTTAGGTTGTTAGAACAAGAAGAAGTGCAATGTTCGATTGAAGCATGTTCCATATTTAAATTACATCATCCAAATCCATAAGATCTTCGGGTTTACAGTGGATGAATAATTTGTGTTAGCATTTCAGTAGTTTATTTTGAAAGGTCAAATGTAAATGCAGGACGTGGTACTGATCATTCAGTGTAGTTTACGTTTACAGATGCAATATAATATATACATAAACAGCCCTAGAAAATACTTTATTTATGCTAGTGAACTTTATGTGTGATGAGATATCTGAATCATGAGGTTGTTTGTCGTGCACTGATTATTCAAACTGCAGAGTTAGAGCACACTTATTGAATGATTCAATGACACTTGGTGATGAGAGACAAACTCCGATGCAATACTGATACTTGAGTTGTGTAAACTAGAAACAGTCACTAGTTAGCTTAAATCTGTTGTAAAACCTGAACTATATAAACTCAGTCAGTATGCTGTAGTGTATTTGACTTGTTCTATGCGTGGTTCTATTTCACCATATGAAATCAAATCGATTCAAAGTACAAAATGTGATATCAAATCTTCTGTCGTCTGATTTTCCTTTCTTCAACATTTGTTTGAACTTCACCGAATGAAGTATGTCGAGTCTTGAATTAAGGAAATAAGATTATCTGCCACTTTAAAACAGTTATTATTCAATATAAAGTCCGAATGGGTAAAATATTCCTTTTTACATTGTCACTGATATTGTGATCGCTTCAATGCAAAATATCGTTGAAGACAAATTAGACATTTTTCACTCGTTTTCCATTCAACATCTTACATTAAACTTCCGACACTAAAATGTTAGAATAATTTATGATGTGATAACCTATATTCTATGACTTTTTATCATAGAAGTCTAACCGACTCACCTAAAAATCTCGCTGAATAAATTATTCGGCAATTTTTAGGTAGTTGTTTGATGAACTTCTCTGTTAGCATTTAGTTTGTGAATTGTGTTTTACATGTTCCTCAACACATAATAAACATGATTATTTCTAACAACTTTCATAAAATTCAACAACGTGGAAAGTGTTTACAAAACAGTTAGTATCAATAATTAAAAAAGATTATTTATTTATTGATAGGGAGAATGGTTCACAGATTGGAGGTGAAATGGTTCTTGGAGGTGTCAATCCTAAATATTTCAAAGGCGATTTCGAATATATACCTACTATTCATCAATATATGTGGGTGATAAGAATTTTAAGGTAAAAATGTTTCAGTCATTTAAACTGGATGTTTGTTTTAAAAGTTTTCAAAGTGTGAGTATATAGCTAAAGCAAACATTGAGAACTGACGATCAGTTTGTGCTTAGGCTTGCAATTAGAGATATTTTATTTATTAGTGATTTCATCCAATGTTTTTATCAATTCAACTATTTTTAACCACATCTCGTTAAAATTCATGTCGCAATTAGTTTTCAAATAGATGGGATGGAAGTTTGCAGTATGTGTTCTGCTGCTATCGACACTGGAACATCACTTATAATTGGACCGGAAGAACAAGTGGAAAGAATCAATTCCCTACTTGGTATCTCTGGTAGTGTTCTGGAAAGACATTTTGTTGAATGCAGTAAATTAGACGAGCTCCCTTCGGTCGAGTTCATATTTCTTCGGAAGAAGTATATTTTGAAGCCACAGGACTATATATTCAAGGTACACTCCTATCTATATTATTAATGGTACAGTTTATTTGAATCAAGATTCGCTTACTTACTGGTAACTGCAATGGACAAATAACATGACAGTAGTATTTCTTCCATCAGGAAACACAGATAGCTGCAGTAGCGAAGTTGATAAAGATAGTGTTCATAAATACAGTATTCAATCTTGAGTGAAGTGGAAGACAATGCATCTTATTTAAATCAACGTTAGCCTTTTTTATCGTACGTTGGATAGAATAACCACCATTGTCTGATAGTATAAATTTGTAACAGAAAACTTACCGTTCAAGGTTTACTCCGACGGTTATGAATAGTGGTAAAGTTGATTTCAATCGGGACTCGCTTTTTACGAATAGTGATGGATGAATAACGCGACATTAGTATTTCTTGCATCTGGATACACATAGCTACCTACGTTCTCTAAGTTGATTAAGTTAGATGAGCGTACGTATGAGCGTACCCACTTTGATCGTACGTTGGATAGAATAACCACCATTGTCTGAGAGTAGAATATTGAAACAGAAAATTTCTCGTCCAACGGACGAAGATAGTTGACTGAAGAAACAATAAGCAGTAAAATAAAAGGTTTAGTAGAACATGTCTCGTTTAAGTAGGGATAGATCGTTTGTTCAAGATTTTCCCATACACTAACCATCTCATCTGGCGTAAGCAAAATAATGCAGGATCTCCTATCTGTGTTGCTAACATAGAATGTTAAACGGATATACCAAAGTTAATTAAAATCTGAATCTAAATTGATGCTTCTACAATTCATAATAAATACAGTTGAAGAAAAGGCGTTGACAGAAATAACGCGAATGATAAATTTAATATTGTTTGGTGTTTATAAAACTGTTTAACATATGAGCAGTTAGTCGAAGTTAATTTGTGCACTTCGTTGACTTATTAATCGTACGAGGGTTTGCTATTGCAATCAATATGATTGCGATCATTCGGTTGAGTTTTATGGTGTTTTTTCTTGAATTACAGGAGAACACATTATTTGGAGTAAGTTGTTCATCTCCTTTTTATTCCAATCGTCGACTACGTCCGAATTCCTGGGTTCTCGGTGACACATTCATCAGAAAATTCTACACTGTATTTGATTTCGGTCAGCGAAGAATCGGACTAGCTGATGCTGCGGGAGCATAGTAGCTTCATTGTTAACAACAAACAGTTTCACACAATGAAGTGCAAAAATCAAACGTGTATTTACAATACCGTATATTCAACCGCTACCCTTCATCTTATGATTTATCACAAAACTAAGCTCCGTTTATCCTAACGTGATTGTCAACATCGACTATTTCTAACAGAATTGGTTTAGTTAATCTGCACTCATGTAAACGTAAACTGGCAAAAAATGCACAAAACGTTTGTGATTCATAATTTCTTTCATTTAATTTGTACCAGAAACTATGTGCACACATTCACAATACATTTATTAAGAAAAGTAATGTTGACGTTGGAGTTTAGACCTGCTTTGTCAATTTGTGTATTAGAAACCCTGATGGTTTGAATAATTCTGCAGTTGATATTTTGACTAAAACCTGATCGGTTATGGTTCATCTATATGTGCATTCTGTATGAACCGCTTCCATCTAAGCATTATGAATGATGTTTGCTTGGAATAAAGCACATATTTGTCGCACTGGAATGCAAAACTCGGCAGCTTAACATGTTAAAACTGATTGAGTTTCAGTCAATATATTGACAACGGAAAAATCCAAATCAATGAAGTTGATATCCAAAGTCGACTGTAAATAGTAGCTAAGTGAATGACATGTTGGTTAACATTCAACTGACGAGTCACAGAAAAGATGAAAATCACCTGAATTTCACAGGAAAACTACATCCTTCCTGCTAAAAACTAGTCGTTATCGCATCAGTGATTTATGGATCGTTTAGTTCTCAAATGTGACTCTTCTACTACCATTTCATCAAATTTTCGTTTAATTTTCAAGAGAGCTTGAAATAGATAAAATTTTAGGTTATATTTCAAAATGAATAGCGAAGTAAAGCCCACAGCTATTTAGTGCTTAGAAGGTTACTAATTACGAATCTCGGTTTTTCAGATGAAAAAACCAACAATACGTTTGTACTCAAGGTATTAGAAAAAAATGACTTCGGTGCAGTTGATTTGCAGTGCTGATATAGATTTCACCAGACGGCTCAGATAGTTACTGGAAATATTCAGAATGTTGTCATAGTTATTTCGCAATAGTGTATGCAAATGACGTTCTAATTATAACTGAAGTTTTCATTTTCCTTTCAATCTCATTCGTCTTCAAATGCTGATAGTTTTGTGTCGATATAATTTCCTAATCGGTCAGTTTTTGCACGCTGCCTGTAATTAGAGTTAGGAGAGACAAGTGCATATTTTGGTCAATTATTAGCAGGTGTGAGAAGTAGAACAACGATTACAGAAAGAATGTACCATTGTCCTTCGCGTTCCGAATTCTCGATTATGCTTCGACAAGTAATTTTGTCGGCCAATCTCGATGAACGAGGTTTTGTGCCTCAAGGTAGATCATCGAGAAAACCTTGTGGGTAGGTCGGATCAAGGTGTTCGGAGATATTCAGATCCATCTCAGACTCGATGTCTGCGACAAAGGCCACAGAGGGTAAATCAACAGCGGAACAAATAAATTACAGTTAGAATTTTGATCGACGACACTGAAAAGGTAATGTTGTTAAGAATATCGAGAAGAAATACTGCAATCACTAAATTGTGAATAGTTAAACATATCACGAGCACAATGCGATTAAGCGTCAATTTTTCCGAGCTGCGGTCGTTAAAAACATCCTTCAAAAATTATTTCCTTAAAAAATTGACTAGAAGCTATCTAGAAACCGGTTGATTCACTGTATATATGATAAGAAAAATATTATGAAAAATTACACACATGTGAAAGTATGTAAACCCAAAAATTACCTAGATAATTGTATGATAAGAACATAATAAACTAACAAATAGTATGGATAGGATTTAGGCCTTCAATATCTTGGATGTAGATGAACTGTGGTTTCGATTTTCTTATTTATCTTACCGCTATGATAAAAAATATCCCTACATTAGTATATATGAATACAATTTCCATTTAGTTCATGTGAAAATTTCACTAAAACTTTATTACCAAATAATAGTTACAAACCATAAAATTCTTCACTATCAAAACTTGATAGTTTACTGTTACTCATATTCAACTAAGTGTGTAGTAGTAGTAGACCGCTAATTTGTCTAACTGAATAATAAGTCACCTGAGCAATCACACACAGACAGATTAAAGTGAAGTGTTTAAGCATCGTTTGGTTAATATTTATATCGGCATATTGTTAAATAATAGAACATTTCAGTTTAGTGTGGATTGGTAAATATGTAAATAATCAAAATAATGCAATCATGCTTGGATTAATTTCAGATGTGAACGTAAGCAGGAAGGTTTATTTACATAGTTGTAACAATTACGAATATGAATCTCATCATATTACTTATAATACTCAAAGTGATATAGTGTGATAGTGACGTGAGATTTAAAAGAAAACAAAATAATTGTAGATTCAAATTGTAACGCTGCGAAATACAAACAGATTTGTTATGGCAAATTTTTAATTGTTATTGAGTTTCTTTTTGTGAGCTAAATGTTTTTATTTGTGGAAAGTTCACTGTTCGTCTGAACAGCATCATCGGCCCAAACTTCAGATAGAAAAGATGTATTGGAATTTTTACACGTTTAACCAGTAGCTGGTATTGTTGTTGACCTTCAGCCAGTCGTTGTTTAAATTGTTGTTTGATTTGTTTGCATTGGCCTTTGATATGTTTCCTCAATACATGTTTGTCTATGGTGTACGAAACTAACTTAGAAATGTGTATTTATGTATTTCCTTAGCACATTAAGCTTTGTAATAATGAAATGATTACATATTTAGGCACCATTCTTATGAGTAGAAGTTTATTTGTCTGACATTTGTAAACCTCATGTAAATTACTTCTTCAAAGTGATTCAATAAATTACCGAAATAAATTAACACTGGATAATTAAGAACAAACGAAAAGTGCAGAATATTTTTAGTGCAATCAAAATCATATTTGAACATATTGCAATAATGTTGATACTAAACGAGAGAAATGTGTTCAGTGATGTAACTGTTCGTTATCTATAGTGGTTGTGACATTGAAATATCTAAATCTTTCAATAAAATCCGTAAACGAAAGAGTTCGTTAAACCAACACATTTCTGAAGCGGTTGCAATGAATCGTTTTCAACCTGAATAATGTGTCCCTAACGAAAAGCAGTTTTAAGTCTTCCATATCACGATCTCATAGTCTGTCTTCACATTTGAACTTCAGTTCTTCTCCATATTCCCCAAATAAATTGTGTACACGTGTTTTACTTCAATGAATAATTTTATGGTTTCTGGTTACAAGCAATCACGAATTATAAACGAAGTAAACGAATTCAAGTTATTTTGCTACGATATTTATACTCTATATTTGAAAAATGAAGAAATGCAAGACAGCCAGTATTATGTGTGAACGGGTCAACGTCATGTTATTTTCATCAAGCTGATCATCGTGAAACATGATTGTGTTTATTTGTGCATGGGAAATAAGTCTTTCGTAATAATAAGTAGTGAATTTGAAAAAATACTAAAATAAGGCTTGTGCATATGTTTTTACAATCTTGTAGAAAATGAAAAGAGTCGAATATGTTCTTTTACAAAAACAATCTATTTTGAGTAAACATTTGGTCACTATCATTTATTGAGAGCAGTAAGTATTTAGCATCATGAGAAATGCTTTTGTTAGTCGCCTCTCTTTATGTCTGAATTATTTTGACGAGTTAAAACTTGATTTAGTGGTTGTTGGAACTAGTATTTGCTGTTATTTCCGAGATGACATGTAACGTTTCTTACTCTACAGGATTATAAGAATATCATTTTGTGTAGCCTATGTATTCATTTAGCTGAGTCAAGATATCTTGAGGAAACAGTCTTATAGTGCCTCAACATATATTCCACATATATACATCTAACTTGGTTAAGCCCTTTCGATTAATCTATTTAACCAAGCCATTTGCTTAGCAACAATTTATATGTACCATTAGTACTTATTATTGTCTGGTTTGTATAAGCTTGTACGACTGAGCATTGCTTACGCCTACGCGCTGGCTCATCCTTCTCGCTTTAATGTTAATACCTTAATACCCCTACGAACTCACATGACCTGTCTCGCTTACATTTGACCTTGTCAGTCATTCGTCGCTTTTATTCTTGTCTGTGCATCCCTATTTTGCTTGCCATATGTCTGTCTTATTTTTTGTCTGCCTTCATATTCTTAGTCATACTCTATTTTTTGGCGTTGGCTCAAAAGACTTCTCCAGTTCAGGTCGCTTCATTCGTACTATTTACTGCTTCTCAACTTCGATTCGTGGTGTGTCCCGAATAAACGTATATATCACTACGAATTCACCTTCTGATTTATAATCCGACAGACGCTATTTGGCAGCGATTGTCTGAACGAGTTGATTACCGAGCTTAAGAACAAGCAGTAATTCGACACACTAAGGTCTGACGTATAACACATAACGATCAACAAAATCTAATATGTAGAAGCAGGTTTTCGTCGATATAAATCGCATCTTATCCTGAAAGGTAACCAAATTGTTTCATAATGTTCGCTGTTTAATTTAAAGCTTCGATTCCGAATTTTCACAAAATCCGTGTAACCTGTTCTGTCGTACTTGAGCAGTCAGGTAAAACTACAATAAACATCTACAGTTATCCGTCAGAATAGTGATTTTCAATGGATGTTTCCGTGCTAGCGTTTTCATTATTATTCACAAGAATCTAATTTTATCGTAGGATACTTATCATACTATATATTACTTTTTGTTTGTCATCTGCTGAATCTGTGGAACTTCCGCAACGAGTAAATGTACAGAGTTAAAACCAATCTAATGATTTTAATCTACATCATGGAAATTTGGAGATTGTCAAGTTACTTCGACATCATGAATCGATCAATGTTAGAGTACCATGAGTAATCTAGAAGCATATGTCTTGCTTCAGATTTCTATTAGAACTCATGCTTAACCAAACTGTCTAAGTAAGGCTCATCACTTTGTTTATTTTCATTTCTAAAAGTGAAA